AGGTGAAAAACAGGGATTTCTATGAAAATAAGCGATATTTAGCGGTTAAAAACAGGGATTTCTAGGATAATAAGCGATATTTAAGGGGAAAAACAGGGATTTCTATGAAAATAAGCGATATTTATGGGGAAAAACAGGGATTTCTATGAAAATAAGCGATATTTCAGGTTAAAAACAGGGATTTCTAGGAAAATAAGCGATATTTCAGGGGAAAAACAGGGATTTCTATGAAAATAAGCGATATTTCAGGTTAAAAACAGGGATTTCTATGAAAATAAGCGATATTTCAGGTGAAAAACAGGGATTTCTATGAAAATAAGTGATATTTCAGGGGAAAAACAGGGATTTCTATGAAAATCAGCGATATTTCAGGGGAAAAACAGGGATTTCTATGAAAATCAGCGATATTTAAGGGTAGATTGAGGGTTAGGGTTAGGGTTAGGGTTAGGGTTAGGGTTAGGGTTAGGGTTAGGGTTAGGGTTAGGGTTACGGTTACGGTTATGGTTAGGGTTAGGGTTATGGTTAGGGATAGGGTTAGGGTTAGGGTTAGGGTTAGGGTTAGGTTTTGGGTTAGGGTTAGGGTTCGGCTTAGCGTTAGGGTTAGGGTTAGGGTTAGGGTTAGGGTTAGGGTTAGGGTTTTGGGTTAGGGTTAGGGTTTAGGTTAGGGTTAGGGTTAGGGTTAGGGTTAGGGTTAGGGTTAGGGTAAGGGTTAGGGTTAGGGTTAGGGTTAGGGTTAGGGTTAGGGGTAGGGTAGGGTTAGGGTTAGGGTTAGGGTTAGGGTTAGGTTTAGGGATTGGTTTAGGGTTAGGGTTAGGGTTAGGGTTAGGGTTAGTGTAAGGGGTTAGGGTTAGGTTTAGGGTTAGGGTTAGGCACAGGGTTAGGGTTAGGGTAGGGTTAGGGTTAGGTTTAGGGTAGGGTTAGGGTTAGGGTTTTGGGGTAAGAGAAAACCCCTATTTTTAGTTGAAAATCTGAGATTTTTGGATGAAAACCCCTTTTTTTGGAATTTTGGCGCCGTTTATTTGGATATGCTGCTTTTTATTTATCTTTTGGAGTCATTTTGTGTGATTTTGGGGTCATCTATTTGGTTTTTGGTTTCATTTTTGGAGATTTAGTTGTTCTTTTTTGGGAGTTTGGGTTCATTTTTTGAGATTTTGGGGAGTTTGATTGGGATTTTGGGATTATTTTTGGAGATTTTGGAGTAGTTTTTTGGGATTTTGGGGCCATTTCTTGGGATTTTGTTGTTGTTTATTGGGATTTTGGGCCATTTATTGATATTTTGGGGCAGTTTTTGGGGATTTTGGTGCTGTTTCTTGAGATTTTGGGGCCGTTTTTTGGGATTTTGGGTCCCTTTTGGTGATTTTGGGCCATTTATTGGGATTTTGTGGCCCTATCTCAGCATGTCTTTGCCGTTTATTGGGTTTTGGGGCCATTTATTGATATTTTGTGTCAATTTTGGGGGATTTCAGCGCAGTTTCTTGAGATTTTGGGGCTGTTTATTAGGATTTTGGGCCATTTTGGGAGATACTGTGGTCATTGAATGGGAAAAACAGGGATTTGTATGAGAAATCCTCAGATTGAAGGGGAAAAACCCCAGAATTAGTACAAAAAACAGGGATTTCGAGCAGAACAGCTCAGATTTAAGGGGAAAAACAGGGATTTCTTTGAGAAAACCCCAGATTGAAGGGAAAAATCAGGGATTTTGAGCAGAAAAACGCAGACTGAAGGGGAAAAACCCCATAAATAAGGGGAGAAATGGGGAATTCAGGTAGAAAAAGCCATATTAAAGGGGAAAAAACCCAGACTGAAAAAAGAAACAGGGATTTCGATGAAAATAAGCGATATTTAAGGGGAAAAAGTGGGATTTCAATGAAAATAAGCGATATTTAGTGGTTAAAAACAGGGATTTCTATGAAAATCAGCGATATTTATGGGGAAAAACAGGTATTTCTATGAAAATAAGCGATATTTCCGGGGAAAAACAGGGATTTCTATGAAAATAAGCGATATTTAAAGGTTAAAAGCAGGGATTTCTATGAAAATAAGCGATATTTATGGTGAAAAACAGGGATTTCTATGAAAATAAGCGATATTTTCGGGGAAAAACAGGGATTTTTATGAAAATAAGCGATATTTCAGGTGAAAAACAGGGATTTCTACGAAAAATAAGCGATATTTAAGGGGAAAAACAGGGTTTTCTATGAAAATAATCGATATTTACTGGTTAAAAACAGGGATTTCTATGAAAATAAGCGATATTTTCGGGGAAAAACAGGGATTTCTAGGAAAATAAGCGATATTTCAGGGGAAAAACAGGGATTTCTATGAAAATCAGCGATATTTCAGGTTAAAAACAGGGATTTCTATGAAAATAAGCGATATTTCAGGGGAAAAACTGGGATTTCTATGAAAATAATTGATATTTCAGGTTAAAAACAGGGATTTCTATGAAAATAAGCGATATTTCAGGTGAAAAACAGGGATTTCTGTGAAAATAATCGATATTTAGTGGTTAAAAACAGGGATTTCTATGAAAATAAGCGATATTTAAGGAGAAAAACAGGGATTTCTAGGAAAATAAGCGATATCTAAGGGGAAAAACAGGGATTTCTATGAAAATAAGCGATATTAAAGGGGAAAAACAGGGATTTCTATGAAAATAAGTGATATTTCAGGTTAAAAACAGGGATTTCTATGAAAATAAGTGATATTTCAGGTTAAAAACAGGGATTTCTATGAAAATAAGCGATATTAAAGGGGAAAAACAGGGATTTCTATGAAAATAAGTGATATTTCAGGTTAAAAACAGGGATTTCTATGAAAAAAAGTGATATTTCAGGTTAAAAACAGGGATTTCTATGAAAATAAGTGATATTTCAGGTTAAAAACAGGGATTTCTATGAAAATAATCGATATTTCAGGGGAAAAACAGGGATTTCTATGAAAATAAGCGATATTTTAGGGGAAAAACAGGGATTTCTATGAAAATAAGCGATATTTCAGGTGAAAAACAGGGATTTCTATGAAAATAAGCGATATTTAGCGGTTAAAAACAGGGATTTCTAGGATAATAAGCGATATTTCTGGTTAAAAACAGGGATTTCTATGAAAATAAGCGATATTTATGGGGAAAAACAGGGATTTCTATGAAAATAAGCGATATTTCAGGTTAAAAACAGGGATTTCTAGGAAAATAAGCGATATTTCAGGGGAAAAACAGGGATTTCTATGAAAATAAGCGATATTTCAGGTTAAAAACAGGGATTTCTATGAAAATAAGCGATATTTCAGGTGAAAAACAGGGATTTCTATGAAAATAAGTGATATTTCAGGGGAAAAACAGGGATTTCTATGAAAATCAGCGATATTTCAGGGGAAAAACAGGGATTTCTATGAAAATCAGCGATATTTAAGGGTAGATTGAGGGTTAGGGTTAGGGTTAGGGTTAGGGTTAGGGTTAGGGTTAGGGTTAGGGTTAGGGTTAGGGTTAGGGTTACGGTTACGGTTATGGTTAGGGTTAGGGTTATGGTTAGGGATAGGGTTAGGGTTAGGGTTAGGGTTAGGGTTAGGTTTTGGGTTAGGGTTAGGGTTCGGCTTAGCGTTAGGGTTAGGGTTAGGGTTAGGGTTAGGGTTAGGGTTAGGGTTAGGGTTAGGGTTTTGGGTTAGGGTTAGGGTTTAGGTTAGGGTTAGGGTTAGGGTTAGGGTTAGGGTTAGGGTTAGGGTAAGGGTTAGGGTTAGGGTTAGGGTTAGGGTTAGGGTTAGGGGTAGGGTAGGGTTAGGGTTAGGGTTAGGGTTAGGGTTAGGTTTAGGGATTGGTTTAGGGTTAGGGTTAGGGTTAGGGTTAGGGTTAGTGTAAGGGGTTAGGGTTAGGGTTAGGGTTAGGGTTAGGCACAGGGTTAGGGTTAGGGTAGGGTTAGGGTTAGGTTTAGGGTAGGGTTAGGGTTAGGGTTTTGGGGTAAGAGAAAACCCCTATTTTTAGTTGAAAATCTGAGATTTTTGGATGAAAACCCCTTTTTTTGGAATTTTGGCGCCGTTTATTTGGATATGCTGCTTTTTATTTATCTTTTGGAGTCATTTTGTGTGATTTTGGGGTCATCTATTTGGTTTTTGGTTTCATTTTTGGAGATTTAGTTGTTCTTTTTTGGGAGTTTGGGTTCATTTTTTGAGATTTTGGGGAGTTTGATTGGGATTTTGGGATTATTTTTGGAGATTTTGGAGTAGTTTTTTGGGATTTTGGGGCCATTTCTTGGGATTTTGTTGTTGTTTATTGGGATTTTGGGCCATTTATTGATATTTTGGGGCAGTTTTTGGGGATTTTGGTGCTGTTTCTTGAGATTTTGGGGCCGTTTTTTGGGATTTTGGGTCCCTTTTGGTGATTTTGGGCCATTTATTGGGATTTTGGGTCCCTATCTCAGCATGTCTTTGCCGTTTATTGGGTTTTGGGGCCATTTATTGATATTTTGTGTCAATTTTGGGGGATTTCAGCGCAGTTTCTTGAGATTTTGGGGCTGTTTATTAGGATTTTGGGCCATTTTGGGAGATACTGTGGTCATTGAATGGGAAAAACAGGGATTTGTATGAGAAGTCCTCAGATTGAAGGGGAAAAACCCCAGATTTAGTACAAAAAACAGGGATTTCGAGCAGAACAGCTCAGATTTAAGGGGAAAAACAGGGATTTCTTTGAGAAAACCCCAGATTGAAGGGGAAAATCAGGGATTTTGAGCAGAAAAATGCAGACTGAAGGGGAAAAACCCCATAAATAAGGGGAGAAATGGGGAATTCAGGAAGAAAAAGCCATATTAAAGGGGAAAAACCCAGACTGAAAAAAGAAACAGGGATTTCTATGAAAATAAGCGATATTTCAGGTTAAAAACAGGGATTACTGTGAAAATAAGCGATATTTCAGGGGAAAAACAGGGATTTCTATGAAAATAAGTGATATTTCAGGGGAAAAACAGGGATTTCTATGAAAATAAGCGATATTTTCGGGGAGAAACAGGGATTTCTATGAAAATAAGCGATATTTTCGGGGAAAAACAGGGATTTCTATGAAAATAAGCGATACTTAAGGTTAAAAACAGGGATTTCTATGAAAATAAGCGATATTTCAGGTGAAAAACAGGGATTTCTATGAAAATAAGAGATATTTCAGGTTAAAAACAGGGATTTCTATGAAAATAAGCGATATTTCAGGGGAAAAACAGGGATTTCTATGAAAATAAGCGATATCTAAGGGGAAAAACAGGGATTTCTATGAAAATAAGCGATATTAAAGGGGAAAAACAGGGATTTCTATGAAAATAAGTGATATTTCAGGTTAAAAACAGGGATTTCTATGAAAATAAGTGATATTTCAGGTTAAAAACAGGGATTTCTATGAAAATAAGCGATATTAAAGGGGAAAAACAGGGATTTCTATGAAAATAAGTGATATTTCAGGTTAAAAACAGGGATTTCTATGAAAAAAAGTGATATTTCAGGTTAAAAACAGGGATTTCTATGAAAATAAGTGATATTTCAGGTTAAAAACAGGGATTTCTATGAAAATAATCGATATTTCAGGGGAAAAACAGGGATTTCTATGAAAATAAGCGATATTTTAGGGGAAAAACAGGGATTTCTATGAAAATAAGCGATATTTCAGGTGAAAAACAGGGATTTCTATGAAAATAAGCGATATTTAGCGGTTAAAAACAGGGATTTCTAGGATAATAAGCGATATTTCTGGTTAAAAACAGGGATTTCTATGAAAATAAGCGATATTTATGGGGAAAAACAGGGATTTCTATGAAAATAAGCGATATTTCAGGTTAAAAACAGGGATTTCTAGGAAAATAAGCGATATTTCAGGGGAAAAACAGGGATTTCTATGAAAATAAGCGATATTTCAGGTTAAAAACAGGGATTTCTATGAAAATAAGCGATATTTCAGGTGAAAAACAGGGATTTCTATGAAAATAAGTGATATTTCAGGGGAAAAACAGGGATTTCTATGAAAATCAGCGATATTTCAGGGGAAAAACAGGGATTTCTATGAAAATCAGCGATATTTAAGGGTAGATTGAGGGTTAGGGTTAGGGTTAGGGTTAGGGTTAGGGTTAGGGTTAGGGTTAGGGTTAGGGTTAGGGTTAGGGTTACGGTTACGGTTATGGTTAGGGTTAGGGTTATGGTTAGGGATAGGGTTAGGGTTAGGGTTAGGGTTAGGGTTAGGTTTTGGGTTAGGGTTAGGGTTCGGCTTAGCGTTAGGGTTAGGGTTAGGGTTAGGGTTAGGGTTAGGGTTAGGGTTTTGGGTTAGGGTTAGGGTTTAGGTTAGGGTTAGGGTTAGGGTTAGGGTTAGGGTTAGGGTTAGGGTAAGGGTTAGGGTTAGGGTTAGGGTTAGGGTTAGGGTTAGGGGTAGGGTAGGGTTAGGGTTAGGGTTAGGGTTAGGGTTAGGTTTAGGGATTGGTTTAGGGTTAGGGTTAGGGTTAGGGTTAGGGTTAGTGTAAGGGGTTAGGGTTAGGTTTAGGGTTAGGGTTAGGCACAGGGTTAGGGTTAGGGTAGGGTTAGGGTTAGGTTTAGGGTAGGGTTAGGGTTAGGGTTTTGGGGTAAGAGAAAACCCCTATTTTTAGTTGAAAATCTGAGATTTTTGGATGAAAACCCCTTTTTTTGGAATTTTGGCGCCGTTTATTTGGATATGCTGCTTTTTATTTATCTTTTGGAGTCATTTTGTGTGATTTTGGGGTCATCTATTTGGTTTTTGGTTTCATTTTTGGAGATTTAGTTGTTCTTTTTTGGGAGTTTGGGTTCATTTTTTGAGATTTTGGGGAGTTTGATTGGGATTTTGGGATTATTTTTGGAGATTTTGGAGTAGTTTTTTGGGATTTTGGGGCCATTTCTTGGGATTTTGTTGTTGTTTATTGGGATTTTGGGCCATTTATTGATATTTTGGGGCAGTTTTTGGGGATTTTGGTGCTGTTTCTTGAGATTTTGGGGCCGTTTTTTGGGATTTTGGGTCCCTTTTGGTGATTTTGGGCCATTTATTGGGATTTTGGGTCCCTATCTCAGCATGTCTTTGCCGTTTATTGGGTTTTGGGGCCATTTATTGATATTTTGTGTCAATTTTGGGGGATTTCAGCGCAGTTTCTTGAGATTTTGGGGCTGTTTATTAGGATTTTGGGCCATTTTGGGAGATACTGTGGTCATTGAATGGGAAAAACAGGGATTTGTATGAGAAATCCTCAGATTGAAGGGGAAAAACCCCAGAATTAGTACAAAAAACAGGGATTTCGAGCAGAACAGCTCAGATTTAAGGGGAAAAACAGGGATTTCTTTGAGAAAACCCCAGATTGAAGGGAAAAATCAGGGATTTTGAGCAGAAAAACGCAGACTGAAGGGGAAAAACCCCATAAATAAGGGGAGAAATGGGGAATTCAGGTAGAAAAAGCCATATTAAAGGGGAAAAAACCCAGACTGAAAAAAGAAACAGGGATTTCGATGAAAATAAGCGATATTTAAGGGGAAAAAGTGGGATTTCAATGAAAATAAGCGATATTTAGTGGTTAAAAACAGGGATTTCTATGAAAATCAGCGATATTTATGGGGAAAAACAGGTATTTCTATGAAAATAAGCGATATTTCCGGGGAAAAACAGGGATTTCTATGAAAATAAGCGATATTTAAAGGTTAAAAGCAGGGATTTCTATGAAAATAAGCGATATTTATGGTGAAAAACAGGGATTTCTATGAAAATAAGCGATATTTTCGGGGAAAAACAGGGATTTTTATGAAAATAAGCGATATTTCAGGTGAAAAACAGGGATTTCTACGAAAAATAAGCGATATTTAAGGGGAAAAACAGGGTTTTCTATGAAAATAATCGATATTTACTGGTTAAAAACAGGGATTTCTATGAAAATAAGCGATATTTTCGGGGAAAAACAGGGATTTCTAGGAAAATAAGCGATATTTCAGGGGAAAAACAGGGATTTCTATGAAAATCAGCGATATTTCAGGTTAAAAACAGGGATTTCTATGAAAATAAGCGATATTTCAGGGGAAAAACTGGGATTTCTATGAAAATAATTGATATTTCAGGTTAAAAACAGGGATTTCTATGAAAATAAGCGATATTTCAGGTGAAAAACAGGGATTTCTGTGAAAATAATCGATATTTAGTGGTTAAAAACAGGGATTTCTATGAAAATAAGCGATATTTAAGGAGAAAAACAGGGATTTCTAGGAAAATAAGCGATATTTAATGGGAAAAACAGGGATTTCTATGAAAATAAGCGATATTTCAGGTTAAAAACAGGGATTTCTAGGAAAATAAGCGATATTTCAGGTTAAAAACAGGGATTTCTATGAAAATAAGCGATATTTCAGGTGAAAAACAGGGATTTCTATGAAAATAAGTGATATTTCAGTTGAAAAACAGGGATTTCTATGAAAATAAGCGATCTTTAAGGGGAAAAACAGGGATTTCAATGAAAACAAGCGATATTTCAGGGGAAAAACAGGGATTTCTATGAAAATAAGCGATATTTCAGGTTAAAAACAGGGATTTCTGTGAAAATAAGCGATATTTCCGGGGAAAAACAGGGATTTCTATGAAAATAAGCGATATTTCAGTTTAAAAACAGGGATTTCTATGAAAATAAGCGATATTTTAGGGGAAAAACAGGGATTTCTATGAAAATAAGCGATATTTAAGGGGAAAAACAGGGATTTCTATGAAAATAAGCGATATTTAAGGGGAAAAACAGGGATTTCTATGAAAATAAGCGATATTTAAGGGGAAAAACAGGGATTTCTAGGAAAATAAGCGATATTTAAGGGGAAAAACAGGGAATTCTATGAAAATAAGTGATATTTTAAGGGGAAAAACAGGGATTTCAAAGAAAACAAGCAATATTTCAGGTGAAAAACAGGGATTTCTATGAAAATAAGCGATATTTCAGGTTAAAAACAGGGATTTCTGTGAAAATAAGCGATATTTTAGGGGAAAAACAGGGATTTCTAGGAAAATAAGCGATATTTAAGGGGAAAAACAGGGATTTCTATGAAAATAAGCGATATTTAAGGGGAAAAACAGGGATTTCTATGAAAATAAGCGATATTTAAGGGGAAAAACAGGGATTTCTATGAAAATAAGCGATATTTAAGGGGAAAAACAGGGATTTCTGTGAAAATAAGCGATATTTTAGGGGAAAAACAGGGATTTCTATGAAAATAAGCGATATTTAAGGGGAAAAACAGGGATTTCTATGAAAATAAGCGATATTTACTGGTTAAAAACAGGGATTTCTATGAAAATAAGCGATATTTCAGGTTAAAAACAGGGATTTCTATGAAAATAAGTGATATTTCAGGGGAAAAACTGGGATTTCGTTGAAAATAAGCGATATTTTAGGGGAAAAACAGGGATTTCTATGAAAATAAGCGATATTTCAGGTGAAAAACAGGGATTTCTGTGAAAATAAGCGATATTTCCGGGGAAAAACAGGGATTTCTATGAAAATAAGCGATATTTTCGGGGAAAAACAGGGATTTCTATGAAAATAAGCGATATTTAATGGGAAAAACAGGGATTTCTATGAAAATAAGCGATATTTCAGTTGAAAAACAGGGATTTCTATGAAAATAAGCGATCTTTAAGTGGAAAAACAGGGATTTCAATGAAAACAAGCAATATTTCAGGTTAAAAACAGGGATTTCTTTGAAAATAAGCGATATTTCAGGTTAAAAACAGGGATTTTTATGAAAATAAGCGATATTTCAGGTGAAAAACCGGGATTTCTAGGAAAATAAGCGATATTTCAGGTTAAAAACAGGGATTTCTATGAAAATAAGCGATATTTCAGGTGAAAAACAGGGATTTCTATGAAAATAAGCGATCTTTAAGGGGAAAAACAGGGATTTCAATGAAAAGAAGCAATATTTCAGGTTAAAAACAGGGATTTCTATGAAAATAAGCGATATTTCAGGTTAAAAACAGGGATTTCTATGAAAATAAGTGATATTTCAG